GGATTGCATCGATACGATGAGGCGAATAAAAACTACGACATTAGTCTTGCTATTGCTAAAGAATTAAATGACAAAGGTCTTGAGGCAAATATTTATAATTCTATGGCTGAAAACAATATGAGCAGAAATCAATTTCAAACTGCTTTAACTTTATTGGAGAAATGCCTTGACATCGCTTCAACTATTGGCAATAAAGAACTTGAAGGTGCAGCATGCTATAGWTTAGGTCAAATATACTATTCATTACACAAAGAGAACCAAGGACATCAAGAATGTCATAATACTGATGATAATATAGCTAAATCAGAAGAATACTTGAAGAAGGCACTTGATTGTTTTGACTTTTTATTTCAACATCTTCATCAACGGGATCATTTCAAAGTCTCCATTTTTGATAAATTCAATAATRTTTACAAGCTMCTCACCACCGTGCTRATCGAGACAAAGCAACTACAAGAGGCTCTGTTAGTATCTGATGGTRGACGAGCACGTGCYTTAGGAGATCRTTTGWTGTTTAAATACGGCATMATTGAGCAAGATATGTCKWTGCCTAARCCRCTARCCTATCCTGATGTGGAGRCGATCTTCTTTAAAGATGTCTTYTCGATACTGCATTACAGCTTACTAAGCAACAGTTTGRCTGTGTGGGTTTTAGCTAAAGACTCACTGATGTTCAGAGAAACTGAAAAGGAACAATTTGATTCTGCCATAGAAACATTGACTGAAGAAAAGAAAGATGGTGATGAAAACTCCATTAAACGTTTCTTTACTGCTATAGTTTCAAGAGCATATGAAATGATGAACATCCAGGAGAGCGTCACTTGTGAAAACAGATCACTTGATGATTGCGTTACATCGAAAGATACCGTCACTGCAAAAGCTTCTGAATCTCTGTCACGTGATGATGGTACCAGTGAAGAGAWCCTCGATAAAGCGCCACACCCACTTGAAAGGTTGTACAATTGTTTAATTGCACCTGTCCTATCAAATGTACAACAAGAAGAGATTGTCATAGTACCCGATGGAGCAATGTATAGAGTACCGTTTGCTGCCCTCAGGGATCCCAATACAGGACAGTATCTGTCAGACAMMAAACGCATTCGMCTTGCDCCATCAATAGCAATATTAAAGGCTCTAAATGAATGTCCAGTGGATCATCATAGCCAAAAAGGAGCGTTGATTGTAGGAGATCCAAGTGTTGGAGAAGTCTTGTTCAGAGGAAAGAAACGAATATTTGAACGTCTACCCTCAGCAAATAGGGAAGTCAGCTTTCTTTCTTACAAACTGGGGCAATCAGCGCTGACTGGTGAGCAAGCTACCAAAGCTGCTGTGTTGGAGAAGTTGCGCGAGGGATCAGCTGTAATTCACATTGCTGCACACGGGAGCTCTGATAATGGTGAAATAGCGCTGGCACCAAATGTCTCRYCAGAAAGACAAGGAATCCCAGAAGAAGATGACTACCTGTTGACRATGARRGAAGTSCAACAWATMGGAATCAAAGCTCAACTTGTTGTGCTAAGCTGTTGCTACAGTGGTCGCGGAGAGATTAGGGCTGAGGGTATGGTTGGATTAAGCCGTGCTTTTCTTGTGGCCGGAGCTCGTTCTGTCKTAGCGTCATTGTGGGCAATCGATGACAATGTGACTTTTAGTTTCATGGTGAGTTTTTACAGTTATCTGACTCAAGGTGAAAGTGCAAGTGTAAGTCTTCATAAAGCCATGCATGATATTAGAAAAGAAGGCCACAGGGATCCCAAGTACTGGGCTCCTTTCTTCTTGATCGGTGATGATGTCATCCTGAATTTGAAGTAAAAAGTGTCTCACCTTTCATGACTCTTTTATGCCATCTAATGTTAGGAAACTATTAAATATTTGATTTTTATAGTATATTATTTCCAGCAACGAGTCTAATCATTGTAGCGATTATTCCATTGTTTTCTTAGACAAGAGAGAGATAAGGAATTAGCATAATTCAGTATAACTTACAATTTATTATCAAACTGTATTGTAGGCATTAAACCCGTGAAATAAGATTTTTAAAYGAAAGAGACAATTTATAATGAAGAAAAAAAATGCAATTTCARCGCACGATATGTTGTACCAATCGTACCTATTTCACTGACTTCACTCTGTTTCATCGTTTTAGTTTTTTCGCAGTTTAGACCTCACTGTAGTTTAAAGTGGAGTAAAAAAAACCGTGAAATAGGCGAGGAACTAAGACACTTAGGGTCACTTAGTACACTCTAATTGCACTGTTTTCTTTTGTGTCTATTTGACTACAATGAAGTCATTAAACTTGTAAAGCAAAACTTGACTATTAAATTGTGACAGTCAACAAGACACAAAAGAAAACAATCGGCATTCTAACGATAAAATAGCGCTACAAACTACTGGAATATTCTCATTACTTTGTTTTATTTTTCTAATCATCACAGTTTAGCAATGTTTGGTTAGTACTTTTTCACGCTTTTAGTGTTTGAATTTTGTTATATCTCGAACACGTTTTATATTTTTTAGATATCTCGATTAATTAAATTGATAACACAAATGAAAGATTTGTTGCATCCCTCTAGTTCAGTACGTTACACCACGTAGTGACTTTTTGATAGTGGTTCACGGGTTAAGTGCATTGTCACTAATCTAACAAAAAATAGTAATAAGGAAGTGGTTTTCATCGAACTGTGGCACAATCACTAATAGAGTAAGGGCTTTTAAAACCGTGAAACGAAATTTCAGTATAAAAAAGGCTGATGGTCAAATAGTTACAAAATAAAAGAATGCAATTAGAGCGTTCTAAGGTGTATTAGTGTGCCGGTATTCTAGTTCACGATTTGTTGACTTCACTCATAGACACTATTAAACACAGACGGTTAGTGTCCTTTGACCCGTGAAACGCAAACTGTTATTGTGTAATAATCCAGCTGAAAGAAACGAAAACATAACTGGAGTTGATTTCATTTGACCGTGAAAGATTATCAAGCTATGAATCTATTTTTTACTAACAAATGCTATCTAAATGGTCATTTTCATTGCATGATCAAAGACTCCAGTAGTCTGGTAATTGTTTCACGGGTTAAGTGTAACGACCCTAATCGTCAGTATGGTCAACTGTGTTTATTATTGTCATATTGACCGATGTTTTTATGGCTTCACTGGGTTAGGTCTGTCTTTAAGTGTAGTAGACCTTCGTAATTAATTCTGGACAAAAAGCACTCTACAGTGATTTTCAGTTGACTGTGAGAGACGATGTAGATTGTCCTTGATGATCGCAATGGACAAAATAGCAAAGATGTATAGAAATAAAAGTACGCAGAGCATTCTGGTAGATTTAACTCCGTGTTAAAGTAAAAAAGTCACACAGAGACATTTTATAATTCTTTTAATTAGGGATAGGCAAATAGATAATCTTTCCATTTCTCAGAAATGTCATTATGAAGAAAAATTACAGCCAGAAAAAAAAGGAAAAAGTCTCGACGTTTCTGCTGTATTTTTTACGATATGCGTTCTCTCACTTGTTTTGAAAATATACCTAGAATACAGACTCCCTCAGACTTGTGGAAACAGCTTTATAGAAGTAATGGTCAGTAATGGCATTCACTTTTCCTAAATTAATATGTGAGCGCTGTCATTGTAAAAGGCACCTACGGTGCTAAGCTCCGTTTTGGACGTGCCTTTACCCTACAGGTCACTGCTCTCCGTCGTGTTCTTTAGCGTCCATTCGCATTGACAACACTCATGTAGTTTTCTGACTAGCGCAAGCGCTGTGCTCTCATGCTGGTATGGATTCCAAGCGAGCTGTTTAATTAGAAGGCCAGCGACCTAAACACATCTTTGTCATTTCCTACGGGACAAGTGACAAGTGACGATCTACCCTCTCTCCTTTCAAACCTGCACAACAAAGCCAGCAGTCATGACTACCTGGTCGTCGGCTTTGACCATGGCGGTTAAATTGGCGTCCAGTACTCTGCAATAGCAGAGCAAATTGTTAGTGTTGGCGCAGAGGTTAAAGACCGCTTTCTCCATGTAGATGGGCGTCCCAAAAACTGCGCTGTCTTGCTGCCGTTCTGCTCTACAAATTTACTAACTGCGTCGTTTTCTTTTGTTATTTTGAATGAATATAGGATTTTGCACTTTCTGTTTTTACGGCGAAATACGGGAGCTTGGCAAGTTGTGTGAAGTGCGACAAAATGTTTTTTGAACTTAATAGTACTTTCCTCTTTCCTAATTTTATTTGAATTTACGACAAAGGTCGACAAACGACTTCGTTCGAAAAAGTGGAATTTTATCCCCTTGTGCGTACAACAGAATTTTATGTACGCAATGAACAACACAGGGATACCGACTCTAAAGAGATGTGATGGATGGAAAGGCATTTTACATCAAGTAAATGATACTTATAAATGAGAAGATATTTTAAAATTAGAGGATTGTTTGTTATTATGAATTACTCATGATCCGAATGAAACAATCAATAGCTGTTAAGTAAACAATATATTCAAATGCAACACCTAAAATGTGAAATATGTCCGTAGTTACTTTTAAATGTACAATAGCGTGTTTTATTTCTATGTCTCTATTTCAGTTGTCATTCACTGCATTCTTTCATTTTATCTTTCAAATGATTAAACATTGATTCTTTTATCCATTCATTCATTTCTTTGATTTATTWATTCATTTGTCAGATTTATTTTAATAAATTAGAATACCCAATATATCATATTTTAGCTACCAAACTGAGACATTTATTTATCAAATCATATGTGTATGGTTTATTCGAACCTATATATAAAGTGAAATCCTGTTGTCATAGCTACATTGATCAAAACATTCATTTCCGGGTTGAGGCAGACTGCGTCTCGTGCGTACTTTTTTGTTCTCACTACATTTTGACGTCATCTGTGCGTCTCGTGCGTACTTTTTTGTTCTCACTACATTTTGACGTCATCTGTGTATCTATTAGAGTACGCACGCACGGAAAAATGAGATCTATTTGTTAATTAAAAATCAATGTATTTACTGTTTGAGTTTAAGTGGATACAATGTTTACTTGTCGTCATTTTGAAAACACAGGAAGCCCAATTTGATATACTTTGGAGAGACGACATGAAATGGTCGAAGGCATATTCTATCGGTGAACCAAAACTAGAAGCTGGTGAGACTAGAGATGCAATAAGATACTTTAAAAAGGCCATGGTTATTGCACAAAAGAATGGCTCTAAACAGGAAGAAGCTGTCACACTTGAACGACTTGGTAATGTTTACTATGGCATAGAAAATTATCACGAATCTGTTGAATACTATGAGAAGGGACTGGAAATAGTACAAGAGACTGGTAACAAGAAACTAGAGTGTGTGATGTGTTATAACATTGGCATTGCGTACGATAAACTGGGAGATTATGAAAAGTTTAGGGAGTATTCAAAACAAGGCTTTAATGTTGCGTTAAGAATCGGTGACTCTAGACTCACTGCAGATTCTTATGAAGGTCTTGGTCGTGCTTACCATTCCCTGTGTGACTATCAAAATAGTATTAAGTGCCATAAAAAAGCTGTTGATATGTACAAACAACTGAATGATGAAGAAGGATTAGGGCTTTGTTATGGAAACATGTCATTATCATATCAAAGGCAAGGAAAGTACCATGATGCAATTCGTCTATTAGAGGAGAGTCTCAGGATAAGTGTTAAAATTGGAAGAAAAAAAGATCAAGCGACTGGCTTACTTAATTTGGGGTCAATATACGCAAGGTTGAATGATTATGATAAGACCATCGAAATGGTCCAGAAAAGTCTTGCTATCAATAAAGAGATCGGTAATAAAGGTCTTCAGGCAAACTGTTACTGTAGCCTGGGAAATGTTTTGTTTCATAATTGTTATAAATATTCAGAAGCCATTGTGTATTATCAGRAATGCTTAGACATTTCAAAAGAAATCGATGATAAACAATCACAATCGGTCGCCTTATTAAACATTGACCAATGCTTAAATGAATTACATCGATACGAAGAAGCGAGTAAACAATACGACAGTACTCTTGCTCTTGCTAAAGAATTAAATGACAAATATAGTGAGGCAGGTATTTATCTTTCTATGGCTGAAAACAACATTTGCAGAAATCAATTTCAAACTGTATTACCTTTATAGGAGAAATGTCTTGATATCGCTTCGACTATTGGCAATAAAGAACTTGAGGGTGCAGCATGCTATACTTTAGGTCAAATATACTATTCATTACACAAAGAGAAACAAGGACATCAAGCATGTCATAATACTGATGATAATGTAGCTAAATCAGAGGAATACTTGAGGAAGGCTCTTGATTGTTTTGACTTTTTATTTCAACATCTCCATCAACGAGATCTTCTCAAAGTGTCTTTTTTCGATAAATTGAATAAAGCGTACAAACTACTCACGACTGTGCTAATCGACACAGGGAGACCACAAGAGTCTCTGTTAATATCTGATGGTGGACGAGCACGTGCTTTAGGAGATCGCTTATTCTTCAAATACGGTATGATTCAGCAAGATATGTTATTGTTTAAGTCCCTGGTCTATCCTGATGTGGAGGCTGTCTTCTTTAAAGATGTCTTCTCGATACTGCATTACAGCTTACTAAGCAACAGTTTGGCTGTGTGGGTTTTAGCTAAAGACTCACTGATGTTCAGAGAAACTGAAAAGGAACAATTTGATTCTGCCATAGAAACATTGACTGAAGAAAAGGAACATGGGGATGAAAACTCCATGACTCGTTTCTTTACTGCAACTGTTACAAGAGCATATGAAATGATGAAAATCCAAGAAAGCGTCACTTGTGAAAACAGATCACTTGATGATTGCGTTAMATCGAAAGCTGAATCTCTGTCACGTGATGATGGTACCAGTGAAGAGACCCTCGATAAAGCGTCACACCCACTTGAAATGTTGTACAATTGTTTAGTTGCACCTGTCCTATCAGACGTACGACACGACGAGATTGTCATAGTACCCGATGGACCAATGTATAGGGTACCATTTGCAGCCCTCAGGGATCCCAAAACAGGACAGTATCTGTCAGACACCAAACGCATTCGTCTTGCTCCGTCAATTGCAGTATTAAAGACCCTAAATGAATGTCCAGTGGATCATCATAGCCAAAAAGGAGCGTTGATTGAGATCCGAGTGTTGGAGAGGTGATGTTCAGAGGAAAGAAACAAATGTTTGAACGTTTGCCTTCAGCAAATAGGGAAGTCAGCTTTCTTTCTGCTATGCTTAGACAGTCGACCACACTGACTGCCGGACAAGCTACCAAAGATGCGATTTTAGAAAAACTGAAAGAARGCTCAGCTRTRATTCACATTGCTGCACACGGGAGCTCTGATAATGGTGAAATAGCGCTGGCACCAAATGTCTCGTCAGAAAGACAAGGAATCCCAGAAGAGGATGACTACCTTCTGACGATGAAAGAAGTCCAACGAATCGGAATCAAAGCTCAACTTGTTGTGCTAAGCTGTTGCTACAGTGGTCGTGGTAAGATCAGGGCTGAGGGTATGGTT